AAAAATCTATTTATATGATTATTAAAAGATTCCATGGTTCTTCTTCTCTATTGGCTTCGGCCTTTAAGACCATGCCGCTATAAACAAATCTTGCCATCTGTTCCTGTCCTCTGCAACTTCTCTCCATCTGATTCCTGGTCCTATCGCTTTTATGTCCTTCTTTACACAGTCTTCCCACCTCAACCTGGGTCTTCCTAAAGGTCTTTTCCTTATAGGCTCTTCCTCTATTACCAGCCTAACAAGAGATCCTTGCTTACGCCAGGCATGACCTCCCCACATGAGTCTTCTTTTTGTTATCTCTTTAATTATATCAGGCCTCTTAAACTGCATTTGAATTTCATAATTATGCAATTTCCTCCATTCGTTTGTTTGGTTATCAAAGACCGGTCCATATATTTTTCTTAAAACCTTTCTTTCGAATACTCCTAGTCTCTGTTCTTCGGCTTTTCTCAGTGCCCACGTCTCAGATCCGTACATGACAATAGGTCGTAATAATGTCATGTACATTCTTATTTTTAAATTTTTAGAGAGGGTCCTAGATTTCAGTACTTTTTCTAACCCATAGTATCCCTTATTAGCTAGTTGTATTCTCGACGACACCTCAGTTTTAAGTTCATTGTCTTGAGTAATAATAGATCCGAGATACTTAAATTGTGAGACTTTCTTAAAAATATGTCCTTCTAATTCGATATGTTGTCCTAGTCTGTAATTTCTGCTATTTCTGCTAACAGTTAAGTATTCTGTCTTATCATCGTTAACGGTTAATCCCACTTTCTCTGCAGCCTTTATAAGTTTTTTTCCCAGCCTTTTTATCGTCTCAATATCATCTCCTAAGAGAGCTATATCGTCCGCGTATGCTAAAAGTCCTATTGTTATTTGTCCCAGCGCAATTCCTTCTGAAACGTTCATTTCTCGTACTATTTTTTCCAGTACCAGTTTAAACAACACTGGGGAAAGCGCATCCCCTTGCCGGAGACCTGTCGTTACCCTCACAGGCTGAGAAGTTGTGTTCGCTATCTTAACCTTTACATCCGTCTGGTTGATGCTGGCTCCAATGAGGCTTATAATTTTACTTGGGAATCTAAATTCTTTGAGTATATTTATAAGGCTTTCTCTATGAATAGAATCATAAGCTTTTTTAAAATCTACAAACAATATGTGTACATCCTTATTATACTCCCAACTTTTTTGGAGGACCTGTCTTATTACCAAAATCTGATCCGTTGTAGATCTATTCGGCCTAAAACCCCCCTGATAGTCTCCTAGTAAAGTCTCTGCTATTGTCCTTACTCTATCCAGTATACAATATGCTAGGACTTTATACGTTGTATCTAGTAATGCTATACCTCTATAATTACTACATTCTTGTGGATCATTTTTTTTGTGAATAGGGCACACTAATGCGGTGCCCCAATCCTCCGGAAGTCTTTCTTCATGCCAGATACTCTCTATAATACTATGTTTTCTATTTATTGTTCCGTCATCCAGGTTCTTTAGTACTTCTCCTTGGATCCCATCCTCCCCAGGAGTTTTGTGGTTTTTTAGTCTATTAAGTTGTTGTAATATTTCCTCTTTGCTTGGAGGCGGACAATCGGTGTCGTTAGGTTCCGTTGGCATCCATGTAAATGTATTGACTGGGTTTTCGCAATTAAGTAATAATCCAAAATATTGTCTCCATTTTTCCAATACCTTGTCTTGTTCTGTCACAAGGGAACCATCGTCATTTTTAAGGAACTTTTCATGTTTTTTGTACCCCCCTCTAATTGAATTTATCTTCTGGTATAATTGTCGAGTTCTATTTACTTTGTGATCGATTTCGGCTTCCTCTAATACATCTTTTGTATATTTCCGTTTTTCATATCTAAATATATTATTTGCTTCCTTTTGACATTCTTTGTATACCATCACTTTCTCTCTATTATAGGGATTGTTGAGCATTTGAGTCCTGGCTTCTTTTCTTCTAATAAATGCTTCCTTGCAGGAGTTGTTGAACCACGGTTTCTGGAACCATGGAATCTTTTTTTGTTGACTTCCTGGACAGGCTCGAGGGCAGCGTGCGAAATGCCCAAGGTACAGTTTTAGTGGCCGGCGACTTCAACGCCAAATCCCCTGTCTGGGGAGACCACAGAGAAGATCTAAAAGGACAAGCACTGGCAGACATGATGGCTAGCATGGACATGGTGGCATGCAACCAAGGCGATAGGCCCACATTCTGCCGAACACATCAAGGGGGAGTCTCAAAGTCACACATAGACATCACCTTCGTCTCAGCAAGGAAACACCCCAATGTTCGAGACTGGGAGGTCCTCGAGGATTACACAGGGTCCCTGCACAATTACATCGTCTACAACTTCTCGAGCACGAGACAAACAGAGAAACGTCCGACGGAAACAAGATGGTCCTGGAGAAAATATGATAAGAAGAAGCTCATAGAATACATAAACTCCAACAACGGAGAAGAGGGAACAGATCCGGTGGCCACCTATACTGCGCTGGACAGATACCTCGTGGCGGCGTGCGACAGCTGCATGCCCAAAGGCCAGTATAGGCGAGGCAAAAAACCTGTCTACTGGTGGAACAATGATATCGAAAATCTAAGGAATGACTGCAAGAAGGCAAGGCGGAGAAGCAAGAGGATGCGCCACAAAGTCGTCGAGGTGCAAGAGCAGTGTCTCAGCGACCTCAAAAACGCAAAAAATGCACTCAGAAAGGCCATCAAGAACAGCAAGGAGTCCTGCTGGAGCAAGTTGTGCGACCAGGTGGAAAGAGACCCCTGGGGTCTCCCATACAAACTGGTCACTAAGAAAATAATCGGGAGAAGACCTATCCCAGGAATTTCGTTACCCGGCAGGATAGACGAAATTGTTGACGGCTTGTTCCCAAGGGAACCAGAGATAACCTGGCCAACTGGAGAGAGCAACGACTCATTTGCAGAAGTGACGTGCCAGGAGATACGGGAACTATGCAAAAGGATTCCCTCGGGGAAAGCACCAGGTCCTGATGGGGTGCCCGATGCGATAGTGAGGGAAGTCGCTAGCAGAAAACCGGAGATCTTGAGGAGTACATTCAACAGTCAGCTCAAAAACAGCCTCTTCCCCGTCCCGTGGAAGGCGGCCAACTTGGTTCTGCTGCGGAAAGGCAACAAACCGTTGGAGAACCCGTCATCCTACAGACCAATCTGTCTGCTGAACACCATCCGCAAGCTGCTGGAGAGGGTAATAAAGGGGCGCATGGAGAGACATCTGAGCGATAGCGATGATCTCAGCGACAGGCAGTTTGGATTTCGGAAAGGGCGCTCCACTGTGGACGCCATTCAAAGAGTTATGGACACAGTGAACAAAGTTTGATCAGGACCATTGTACAACAGGAAGCTGTGCGTCGTGGTGGCCTTAGATGTGGCAAACGCCTTCAACTCGGCGAGATGGGGCAGCATAATAACGGCCGTACGCAAAAAACAGTTCCCAAAATACCTAGTAAACATATTACAGAGCTACCTCAGCAGCAGGGAAATCAGGTACGAAGGAAAGACATGGCCCACAACATGTGGCGTTCCACAGGGTTCAGTCCTCGGCCCGCTATTGTGGAACCTGATGTACGACGGGCTTCTCAGGATCGACACTGGCGGCAACGTCGAAGGCATGTCATCCACGTCGCTAGTAGCGTTTGCGGACGATGTGGCGGTGGTTGCCACTGGACACACCACCAGAATATTAGAAGAGGTAACCAACAACGCGCTGACGAAGATAGCCGACTGGATGGACAACACAGGGTTAATGCTTGCAGCCGACAAGACCGAGGCGGTGATGTTAACTACAAAAAGAGGCTATGAAATGCCCGTCTTCTCCGTGAAGGTTGTAGCCGTGGAGCCGCAGGAAGACCTGAGGTACCTGGGAGTCCAACTTTCACGTAAGTTGGGCTTTAAAACACACATAGAAACGGCGGCTAAAAAGGCAGGAGCCACTGCAGAATGTCTACAGAAAATCCTTCCCAATGTGGGAGGGGCCAGACAGTGGAAGCGGAAAGTACTGGCAATGGCAGTTCAAAGCAAACTACTCTATTCAGCCCCAGTCTGGGCAGATGCACTGGAGTTTGAGTGCAATGTCAAAACGATTGTAAGACCACAACGGAGAATGGCGCTAAGGGTAGCCAAGGCTTATCGCACGGTATCGGCGAATGCCATCTTGGTCGTTGCTGGCATGGTGCTTGCTCATTTAAAAGCACAGGAGCAACAATACAAATTCAGAGCGCTGAAAGAAGGTATTGTTGTCGAAGAAAGAAATTTGAGAGACATGACTTACAGAAAATGGCAAGCTCAGTGGGATTCAACCGAGACGGGATTGTGGACAAAGAGGCTGATCAGCGTTATCAGGAAATGGACGGACAGGAGATTTGGGGAGACGGATTTCCACCTGACTCAAATGCTTACGGGGCACGGGTGCTTTGGTTACTACCTCCACAAATGCAAGAAGCGGGAGGACCCGGCATGCGTGGACTGCGGATCACCGGTCGATGACGTAGAGCATACTCTGTTCAAGTGTGACAGGTGGTGGCGACAAAGAAGGGAGCTGGAAGTGAAAATCGGATCGGACATGGAACCAGACACGGTCGTGACGGCAATGCTGCAGAATGCGGAGAACTGGAAGGCGGTCAAGAACTACGCAGGAATGGTGCTCTCGACAAAAGAAGAGGAGGAGAGGCGGGCCCAAAGAGCAAGAGCTGCTGCTGTAATTACTTAAATAATAATGTTAGTTAAGTAAATTAAAATGTGCACCGAAGGTGAAACTAGGAGGGATAGAGCCCTCTAACTCATGTGAAGGCTCAGGCCTAATTAATTAAGTAAATGCTGCATTTTGTATTTTATATAGATATGTTTATTATTAATAAACGATGCGGATGCAGGGAGAAGGACTATCCTAGGATGAAGTGCCTCCCTTAGCCGCGGTTAAACCACAAAAAAAAAAAGGTTAGGTTAGGTTAGGTTAGGTTTGGCGAAGCCCACGATGAGCGTCACGTACCGGCTTACCCAGGCTCTGTCGGCGCACGGCTGTTTTCGGAGCTACCTGTTGAGATTCCACCGGGCCGAGGACAGCTACTGCGTCTATTGCATGAACCCCGACGACACGGCGGAGCACACGCTCTTCGCGTGCCCCAGGTGGGAGGACGAACGCGCCGTCCTGACCAGGATTCTCCGACGCCCACCTGAGGCCGGGGACGTGCAGGAAATCCTGTGCGGCCCTCAGCCCGATGACCTACCGGACGACCCGGCAGCCCGGCGCAGAATTGCAGAACAAGCTGACACTAATAGACGGGAGTTCATAACCATGGTGGAATCAATTATGAACTCCAAAGAAGAGGACGAACGTGAAGAACAAGCGGACGATAGAGCCGCGCTGAATAGGCGAAGAGCCCGCCAAGGTGCAGCCTGACCCGGCAACGGGACGACGGTGAACAACAAGGTCTCGACACACGAGTGTACTCGCTGTCGCGAGTCGTCGGAGGTGTCACCGACCACGTTGTTCACCCCCACCTGTGACACCACGGGAGGGAAGACGATCACTGCATCGTTGGACACCGAGGAGAACGAGACTTCTAGGGCGGCGGACTCCGGTCGGCCCGCCAAAAGGAGGACTCGAACGAGACTGCCAGAGCGGCGGACTGAGATCGGCTCGTCAATCCGTGCAAGTACGGGACTGCCAGGGCGTCGGACTCCGGTCGGCCCAACAAGACCCATATGAAGGCGATAAATTCATAAATGAATATAAAATGTCATGTAAACGAGGGGGTATGTCGGGGTATTGTCCCGTCTACCCCCTCCGTATGTATAAATTATTGTTTATTCAATAAACGATGGCGGCGCCGCGGAAGTATTGCGAAAGCTGTTCCCGCGGCGTCGTCGGTTAAACCTGAAAAAAAAAAAAAAGGTTAGGTTAGGTTAGGTTAGGTTCACTCGAGCCAAGAGTACAAAGACTTCGTAATCAGGGTAGAGAGGTCAATAAGAAGCGTGACAACTGAGGTGATCCCCACGGGTGATTTCAACGCGAAGCACACGGTGTGGGGGTGCCCGAGGAATGACAAAAGAGGAGACATATTGATGGATATGATAAGCACCACAGGCCTGGTGATCTGCAACAAAGGAACACATAGCACGCACAACAAGGGATCAATTATTGACCTGACAATAGCAACTCCCCGCACAGCCCAGAACATGTCGAAGTGGATGGTCCTGGACAGGGAGACACTGAGCGACCACTATTACATTCTGTTCGAGACAGACCTCGGACCGTCAAGCGGGGAACAGCTAAGAGTCCACAAGATCGACGTAAACAGGTTAGAAGCCCTGTTGAAATCGGACCACCTCGACCGCACCGTACGAACCTGCTCAGACGCAGACCAGTGCGCGCTGGCACTTACGGAAGCCATAAATGGATGCCGCCCGGTAGGCCGAAGCGGAAGAAACGCCAGGAAATCGGTACACTGGTGGAGCGCAGAAATAAACTCGCTCCGGAACGCTGCAAACCATCTACGAAGGGTCTTCCAGCGAAAGAGGAAAAAACATGGCCCAGCACGCAGCGAAGAGGAGGAAAATAACGCCAAAGCAGCCAGACGTCAACTAGTGAACGCAATAAAGAGGGCAAAGGAGACAGCATGGAGAGATCTGTGTGTCCTCGTACAGAAAGACACGTGGGGACTACCGTATAAGCTGGTCATGGACAAACTAACCAGGCCACCCCCAATCCCAGAACTAGACACCCCTGGCAGGCTGCGGCTCATCGTAGACGGGCTGTTCCCACAACACCCGGTTAGGGAGAAGATCACCTGGCCAATGAACTTGGATCGTTATCCAAACTGGAAGGTCGACGAGGCGGAACTGAAGAATGCTGCGAGAAGCCTAAAAACGAAAACTGCCCCAGGACCAGACGGGATCACCAATGAAATAGTCAAGAACATAGTGACACTGAGTCCACGCACTCTCATTAACGTTTACAATACCTGCCTGGAGAACGGAACTTTTCCGAAGACGTGGAAGAACGCCAGGCTGGTCCTCATCCGTAAAGGTGACAAGCCCCTCGACACACCGTCCTCGTACAGGCCATTGTGCCTCCTCGACTGTCTAGGCAAGCTATTTGAAAAGATAATAGACAATCGCCTGAGGATCTTTCTGGACACCAATGACGGGCTCCATGATAGGCAGTTTGGTTTTCGGAAAGGTCGCTCCACCATTGACGCGTTAAACACGCTGAGAAACACAATCACTCCAAACAAAAAAATTGGCATTCTAACTCTCGACATTAAAAACGCATTCAACTCCGCCCTCTGGGAGGCAATAGTTGGAGCCCTATACGAGAAGGAAGTCCCTGGATACATCCAACAGATTGTAAGCAGCTACCTAGAGGACCGCACCCTCAGCTACGGAGCAGGCGACGACGTGACAAAAATCAATGTCACATGCGGAGTACCACAAGGTTCGGTTATCGGGCCCACACTGTGGAACGTATTATACGACGGACTATTGCGAACACGACTGCCAGCGGGGGTAGAATACCTGGCATTCGCGGACGACGTTGCATTGGTAGCTAGAGCAGGGGACTCAATACAACTGGAGCAGCTACTCACCACTTCAGCAAACAAGGTCCAGGGCTGGCTGACGTCAGTGGGGCTATCCCTTGCCGAGCACAAGTGTGAAGCCATGATAATTACAAAAACGAGAACGCACAACGATATGAACATTACAGTGAACGGACACCAAGTGGTCGCCAGTGACTGTATTAAATACCTCGGCATAAACATTGATATGAAATGGAACTTCACAAAACATGCGAAAATTGTCGCTACCAAGGCGGCCAACGTAGCGCAAAGGCTGGCACGCATAATGCCTAACATTAGCGCAGCGAAACCGACTAAAAGAAAGCTGCTGAGCAATGTTGCCCACTCCATCCTGCTGTACGGATCGCCAGTATGGGCTGAAGATATGAGCGTGTCGGGCTGGACGGAACTCCTCAAAGTACAGAGGCGTATCTGCCTGAGAGTGGCATCCGTATACTGCACGACATCAAGAGACGCAATAGCGGTCATAACTGGGATCGCCCCACTGGACCTGCAAGCGAAGGAGAGAAAGAATCTGCACGAAAAGAAAAGGAACCCGGAGCTGGTAATACCACCCGCAAACACCCTGGAAATGTGGCAGACGAAATGGGAAAACAGCGGGGACGGCAGATGGACATACGCCCTCATCCCAAACATCGGTACCTGGACAGGTCGCCGACACGGAGAAACAAGCTACCACCTAACCCAAGCTCTGAGTGGTCACGGATGTTTTGCGGCCTACTTGAAGAAATATGGGAAATTAGAAACGTCAGAGTGTTGGTACTGCGGGCACGCAGTAGATGACGCTGAACACACAATATTCCACTGCGACGCGTGGCACACAAAAAGGAGACAAGCGGAGATGACCATGGGGACGGATCTAACCATTGAAAACCTGATCCCAACAATGCTCGCCTCAAAGGAGAACTGGAATACTACAACAGCCATGATTGAAGCGATCATGAGGAAAAAAGAAGAAGAAGAGAGAAAGAGGCAGACGGCTGCACAAAACTAAGGTCATACCCAAGCACGAGAGAACCAGGGCGGCGGACTCCGGTCGGCCCGTCAAGAGGATCCCGGAAAACTTGCACGAGTTACTCCAGGGCGGCGCGCTTAGGCCGGCCCTCGAAGAGGATGCAGAACGGGAAAACCAGGGCGGCGGACTCCGGTCGGCCCGCCAAGAGGACACAGGCAACCAGAGAAGGAAAAAAAAAAATAAAAAACATTTGAAAATAATTGTATTATGTAACTTATTGTGAGGGGGCTATATGGGGTACTGTCCCATATAACCCTCATTATAACGATGTTATTGTTTTGTCAATAAATGATGGGGTATGGGGGTGAAATGACCGAAAGGTTGGTGCCACCCCATGCCTCGATACCATGTAAAAAAAAAAAAAAAAAGGTTAGGTTCACTCAGGCCACTTGCAACCCCCCCCCCCCCCCCGGGACCCACCTTGACGTGGGGGGGGGGGCTCACGGGCCATTCACTTGGTCTGTGCCAATCGTGCCAAGGTCCAGATAGGACAAGGTGCTGCAGGCGCTGTGGCCAGGAAGGTCATTTCGCCAACACCTGTGCGGCTACCCGTGAGGATGCTCTATCGTTCGCGAAGACCCTAGAGACAACCAGCCACACTGGCAGCGGTGATGCGAAGGCGGCAGCTGTAACGACTCCACAATGATTCGCGTCCTACAAATCAATGTTGGCGTATGTAGGGTGGCACAAGATCTGGCAATGGGAACTGCGGCCAATATGTGCATTGACGTGATTATCATGAGCCAGCCGTACCGCTGTGGGATTGAGGCAGACGGATGGTTCAGCGACACCGGTGGAAAGGCGGCTATCTTTTTATCAAATCCCAGGCTGCAAGTACAAGCCGTCGGCCCAAAAGACAGCGCGGGGTTCAGATGGGTTAAGGTGGACGATTTCACCGTGTACACTTGCTATTGGTCTCCCAACACTGTCTTCACCTTATTCGTGGATTTCCTCGACAGGCTGGAGGGAAGCATAAGACAGCAGACAGGGACCGTCATAGTCGCCGGTGATTTCAACGCGAAGTCACCGGTATGGGGCGACCACAATGAAGAACCCAAGGGGCGTGCACTAGTCTATATGATCGCCAGCCTTGGCTTCATTGCGTGTAACATCGGCGACAAACCGACTTTCTCTAGAGCATATCCAGGCGGGATATCGAGATCGCACATCGACATCACGTTCGTCAACGACAGCAGCAGTCACCAAGTACAGGATTGGAAGGTACTAGATCTATATAGCGCATCCCTTCACAGTTATATCGCCTTCAACATCGCAGGAAATCCCGGCCCAGAGCGCCGCCCGCCAGAGGAAAGGTGGTCTTGGATGAGTTACGATGACTCCAAGTTAAGGGATTTTATGAATTCGGCCAGCATTGATACCACTTGTGAAGAAGCGATAACAGCCACGGAAACTCTAGACTTGTACCTCAAGCAAGCGTGCGACAGTTGCATGCCTAAGGGCAGGTACACAGGAGGCAAAAAACCTGCTTACTGGTGGTCGCAGGAAATAGACAAACTACGCGAGGAGTGCAACAGAATGAGACGCCGAGTTAAGAGGGGACGCCTGCAGCCAGATCAGGATCTAAGGCGTGAGGAGTTTAGACGGGCCAGGAAAGAACTCAAGGTGGCCATCAGAGTCAGCAAAAGGAACAGCTGGAATGATCTATTGAAACAGGTAGAAGCAGATCCCTGGGGCCTACCATATAAATTGGTAACCAAAACACTAGTTGGCAGGAGACCTATTCCCGGACTTTCCGCACCAGGGAGAGCGGAATCGATCGTCGACGCTCTATTCCCGAGGGAGGCTGCCACCGTCTGGCCACCACGTACGGAAACCCACGACTTCCCAGCGGTCACCAACACGGAAATCAGGGAGCTCAGCAACAGGATCCCACGAGGAAAGGCACCGGGACCTGATGGCGTACCCGACCTGATTATAAGAAACGTCGCTAGGCACAAACCAGAGATACTGCGTGATATTTTCAACAAGTGTCTAAAGGAGAGCGTCTTCCCTCGGCCTTGGAAGATAGCGAAGCTCGTTCTCCTAAGGAAGGGGGACAAACCTCTCGAGGACCCCTCGTCATACAGATCAATTTGCCTGTTGAACACAGTAGGCAAATTCTTTGAAAGGCTAATAAAGACCCGTATCGAGAAGCGGCTCGAGGAAGCTGGTGACCTCGATGATCGTCAATATGGTTTTAGAAAGGGGCGGTCGACGGTGGACGCCATAAGACGTGTGTTAGATGTCGTAGAAGCAGCCGGTTCCGGACAGCTTTACAACAGAAAGCTGTGCGCAGTCGTGGCATTGGACGTGGCGAATGCCTTTAATTCAGCGAGATGGCCGAGGATAGTAAAGGCCATGAAGGATAAAGGTATGCCCCCCTACCTCGTTGGTATAATTGAGAGCTACCTTAGCGACCGGACTGTGGTACACGGAGAGAACTCAACACCTACCACTTGTGGTGTCCCACAAGGTTCAGTGCTTGGGCCTCTCCTGTGGAACATGATGTATGACGAGCTTCTACAAGTGGACACAGGAGGCAATGTACGCGGTATGTCGTCCACGGAACTGGTGGCCTTCGCCGACGACGTGGCTGTCGTGGCAACCGGCCATACTACGTGGATACTCGAGACGGTAACCAACCAGGCTTTGGATAAAGTTGCCGAGTGGATGATTGGCGCTGGTCTATCCCTGTCGGTTAGGAAAACGGAGGCAGTCATCTCGACGACGAAGAGGGGATACAGTCAGCCGAGCCTCTCAATCCTAGGCAGCCGCATCGAGGTCAAAGAGAGCATAAGGTACCTAGGAGTCGTGTTGCACAGGGTACTCGGGTTTAGGGCGCACGTGGAATCGGCGGCGGCCAGTGCACAAGCCACGGCAACTGCTCTATCAAGACTTATGCCCAACATCGGAGGCCCGAGTCAGAAGAAGAGATCCCTTCTGGCGACGGTTGTGTCAAGCAAGCTTCTGTATGCAGCGCCGATATGGGGTGCAGCGTTGGCGTTTAATCGCAACGTAACGACGTTAGAAAGACCCCGGAGGGCCATTGCTATTCGTACCGTAATGGCGTACAGAACGGTATCAACGGCAGCGGTGTTGGTGTTCGCGGGGATGATACCGGCTCACCTTCTAGCCTGGGAGAGGTGTGAGAGGTACAAGCGGAGACACGAGCCGGACACAGGAAGGGTGACATCAGAGATCCGTTCAGAGACAATGAGGAAATGGCAGGCAGAGTGGGCAAATGAGAGCAACGGAGGATGGACAAGGAGGCTGATCCAGGACATCAACTTGTGGATGGGCAGGAAGCATGGATTTGTGGATTTCCACATTACGCAGCTGCTGTCCAATCATGGATGTTTTGGCGAATATCTCCACAGGATCGGGAAGCTAGACACGGCAGCATGTGTGGATTGTCATGAAGCAGTAGATGATGCAGAACATGTTTTCTTCGTCTGCGGCAGATGGTGGAAACAACGCCGAGCGCTGGAGGTGGAGCTGGAAGAGGACCTGTCCCCCTACAACATCGTACGTATTATGGTGGAGAAACGGAGCAATTGGGATGCAGTGAGCAGATTCGTCAACCTCGTGCAGTCCACAAGGGAGCATGAAGAAAGGGTGCGACAGCGACTTAGGGCTCAACTAGCATAAGTATATTTTGTACGCCGAAGGCGAAAGTTAGAGGAGTAGAGTCCTCTCTTTTTTGTCGAGCAAAGCTCATAGATGTGGTATTATTGTTATTGTACTTTAATGTGTAATGTCAATAAATGATACGGATACGGGGAGAAGGACGGCCCTTACGGGTGAAGTATCTCCTCGTAGCGCCGTGATTCAAACACAAAAAAAAAGGCCACTTGCAACCCCCCCCGACGGGACCCACCTTGACGTGGTGGGGGGGCTCACGGGCCATTCACTTGGTCTGTGCTAAGAGGTTCCACCCGTAGCGCTGGCACTTGCCTTGGGTGGCTGGTGTCAGAGGGGCTGGCCCACCTACCTTACAACGGAAAACGGACCGAGCCGGCCCAGACCTAACACGTTGGGGCCGGTAGGACTGGTCCTCCTGCTACCTACAGCAAATGGACTCAGAAGGAATACTGTAAACCCACCAACAGATCCGGCCCATACCTAACCCTTCGGGGCCGGAAGGACCGGTCCACCTGCTACCATATGCCAACGGACCCAGAAGGAAAACTGTAAAACCTCCTTGTGTCGGATATGACACCCCGGGGGACCTGATCGCCTCCTCAGGCTCATGGAAGATTCGGACAACGACCGCAAACGGACAGGCGATGCGAGGCTGGCGTCGTCGGTGGAGCTAAGCCAACCAAAACAGAACGATGGAAGCACAACAAAATAAAAATGAATCTCGTCCTGGGTCCACCCTACTAGGGGTGGTCGGACCCCAGGAGACGGCGGCTGGGAGTGGTTCGTCCCAGAAGTCGAAATCAGTAACCACGGATAATGCGCGACTGCCCACGGAAATTGGAAATACTGGAGATATAAGGACACAGGTTCAAGGTACAGCAGCTGGGAGTCTTGAGAGGAAGTTAATGGCCTACTCAACCTCAAGCCAACAGGAAGAAGCCACCATGGAAGAGGCCAATGCCCGCTTCCTTAAACACCTTCAGCAGGTATATAACGTGTCAAAGGCGCTTGATGATGAAGTGACTGCTGCCCCAAATACGAAGAGGGAAATCAAGGCGCTCATAGTGCAACTGTCGAGCGGTGTCAGAGGGCTGATTCAATGGGGAAGACGTACCGGCAGAGTCAGCGTCAGTACTTCGAGTAGGGGTATCCAAACGGAACCGGATACAAAGAAGACGAGCGTAGAGAATAGGACTTCAGAGACCCAGCCAAGCTCCCATAATGAGAATGTGGAAGGTGTAATGCAGGCGTCGGGGGACACCGTCCCTTCACCAGATCGCTCCCGTTTCGAGCTCTCTGCCTCCATCGAGGGTCTTCGCCAGCAGTTTAATGCCCAGTGCGAAGTCATCGGAAAGTTGGCAGTTCAAGTTGACGAAATCCAGAAGCACCAACAACAGCAACCCCCGAAGCAGCAGGTAGAACGAGAGCCACGGAATCAGAGCCACCAATTACAAGAACAACAACAGCGTACGGTCCCCCAAGGTCCACCGCACGAAGAGGGTGTAAGCAAATGGTCAGATGTAGTTCGTAAAAAGAAGAAACCAAAAATCAAAGTTCAAAGCCCCGCAGAAGAAGCTGCCAATACACCACAAACAAGGTCCAAAAATACCAGAGGCGATGCCTTCAGACTGGTCAAAAGAAGGACCCCCAAGACTGAGGCTATTATGATAGACCAATTGGCTGATGGGGAGACTTACGCCTCTGTTATGAAAAGAGTCACTTCCATTGACCTAAACCCGCTCGGTGTCACGGTAAAAGGTGCCAAGCGTTCCAAGGCGGGTGGCATCATTATTGAAGTAGACGGGAAGGAGGATGCCGACAGGCTGGCAGATGGGATTAGGGAGGCCGTTGGAGCAACAGCAGCCGTTAGGAGACCGACAAGAAGCACACCTATTCTTATCAGGGACGTACCGAACTGGATAGAAGAGGCAGAAGTTGTGTCGCATCTGGTACGCTTTGACAGCTGTTTCGGTGACTGTCAAATACGTATATCGGAAACCCGGCAGGCAGAACAGCTTTCTGCCGAATACCGATGAAGGTGGCATCAAAGGTTGCGGATGCATGGGGCGACTGGTGCCGCAACACTCGAGGGGACGATCTGAGCACCCTGTTCAGCTCTCTAGGACTGCAGGTCCTAAACGAAGGATCAAAGCCAACTTTTGTGGGTATAGGAAGAGGCTCCATTGTCGACCTTACCGTGGTGTCTGAGTCACTTGTAGGTCACGTTTCGGGGTGGCACGTCTGCGACGAGGTGGAAAGCATGTCTGACCATCAGTACATCGCTTTCACACTGGAGGCTTCCAGAAACGGCGGGCCCACGAATCCATGGGTGCCGAGGGGCTGGAAGACAGATGGTGAGATCAGCAGCCAAGACGTGGAAATTGGACTCCTTCTGGAGAAATGGACCGGCGAACGTGCACTGTTTGCTGCATCTGCCAACGCCGACCAGCGTGCGCGGGCTGTCCAACAGTCCATTACCGTGGCCTGCGACTTCGCCCTTAGGCGCCTTACCCCTAGCCCTCCGGGGAAACCCCCAGCCTATTGGTGGATCGCCGATATTGCCTCGAAACGTAGAGTCTGCGTGGCGGCAAAGCGAGCTAAGACGAGGTGCATTGCAAAAGTCCACCGGCGTCGTGCACGTGGTCAAAACTCAATCAGCGAAGAGGAAGCTGCGACCGCAACAAACGCCATCTACAAGGAAGCTCGTAAAGGACTGAAATACGCCATCGCGCAAAGTAAGACAAGGTGTTGGAACGAATTGCTCTCAACAATCGACAGCGACCCATGGGGAAAACCCTACAAGCTTGTTGCTCGTAAGCTTCAGGGTCCTTCCCCAACAAGCAAGATGGAATGTGAGTCGGTACGGCGGATCACGGACGTGCTTTTTCCCCTCCATCAGCCGATGACAACGCAAGTCCTCCAAGCCACTGAGATGCCTCCCCCCTTCACCATCGAAGAGGTAAACATAGCGGTGGAAAGAGCGAAACGGAAAAATACCGCTCCGGGTAGCGTATTAGGAAACCCAGGACGCCACAGCGCGGCTCTTGAATATCGTGTTCCCATTGGTGCAATTCAAATTTCGCGCGTTTTCTATTATCAGCATTAATCATTATCAATTTATAATCATAATTATAATTATAATTATAATTTATTTATCCATTTTAATAGTATGTACCTACTATATTAAACAATATAATATTGGAAATTCAAAATACAGCTATTATAATTTAATGTAAAAAAATTTTAAAAAAATGTAGAATACATGATTAGTATTCACTAGCTGTAATATATTAGTTATTATTTTATGGGTAACTAATAATATGCGTGAGCAATATGACTATAGTTAGTAATTATAGCCTATAGGTAAGCCTAGTGATGTAAAATTTAAAATACAAATACATTTATCTCGGTAGTAAATTTGCATAATAATCTGCTGTTAAAAATTTGTATGAGTATTAATTATTTAGTATTTAAGTATAGTATTAATCTGAGTATAAATTATGAGTGTGCCTATATAAACGTTTTCTACATTTATTGATTTTTCTATTTTTTGAAAGTAGTCATTAAGTTTTAAAGTTTAAATGTTATCTTGTTCAAATACAAGTCAGAACTATTGACTATTGTCTATTTATAAATTGATAAATACCTATGTTTTATTTAACATGTAGATTGTAGGTGAGTAACTCTAAGTAGGTATATTTTAATTTAATTTAATATTCACTCTAGATATATGTTATACAATATATTATAAGTACTGACAATTCTTTACATGTTAAAACAATATTAAAACAAATGAGAGATAGTATTTTAGTCTTTATTAATAAAACATAAATAATTTAGTGTCCTCTGCCATGGGACTTAGCATTTAATTGGCCTAAGTTAATATTTTGTTTTCTATTATCAGCATTAATCATTATCAATTTATAATCATAATTATAATTATAATAATCGGTACCTACATCGATCGTTAGTCTGCAATTATTCACATTTAATTATGGATAAGTTAATAAATTATTTAAATGATCATAATATCATTGCTGTTGTATCCGATGAATTATTGTCTACTAAGATTTCGGAAGCCCTTATACTTAGAGCTAACATTAATGATGTTAACCAAGTTGAACATTTCATCATGCTCTATCAAGAGTTTACAAAAACGCAGTGGATTCGTATTGGTCAACTAGACAATCCATCAAGGTACCTCAGTAAAATTAATTTTATAATTTTATTGCTCCGCAGTAGTAATTTTTTTTTGTTTTTTTTAGAGTTGTATTTCATAAGTATTGGGCATGCCAGCACAGTAAAGTGAATAAAGCAAAAGATACACAAACTACTAGAAACACATTGTGTGATGCCAAAATCGACATCCTAATTTAAAAAAATAACCGCAACACAAGAAAGAATGATACATTTTTACAAAGGGACCCCCCACTTTGTGCAAAAATATCATTATATCAAAACCATAACCACTCATTAAATACAAGTGGTTCAATTAAATTTTTACGAGTAACACATGAAGTAATTAATATTTATTTAAATTTTAAATACATACACAATATATTATATAATTTAAATTAGGTATTTATTTAGGCATATGTAGGTATAATATAAATTAGATTTATATAATATATTTCATAAAATTGAATAATTATGCCTAACAATATAATATATACAGTTAAAAATATTTCAATATAAATTTACAAATACATAAAAATAATCATACAAATAATTATTACAGAATATAAAATATTAACTTTACAGTAATACCTAATTTATATTATAATAATTTATGAAATTTTAGCTGAATCTATTTACTTGTTCTTAAAAAATGCATAACACCCTTAAAATACACATTTAAAATAATAGTTCTTATACATTCGTTTAAGGTGGAAGAAGTATTCTTCGAATATTTTAATAATGGAATGGGTGCATCTGAAGCATTGCGATTTCATGAAAGCAAAATATTATTGGAAGATAATTGCTGGGAGACATTAGCAAATGGCTCCAAAAATCCAATTAAAGAAACCGTTGCCTATTTACACAAAAAATGGAGACAAAATAATTTTGGTTGTGTAAATAACCCATTGGACAAATTAATGGAAAAGAATCCATCATATGCTGAACGGGGTAAATAATAAATATTTATATATTTTTATAAGTAAATTTAAAAAAAGTAAATACTTAATTTTATAATATATTTGTTTAGTCCATATAATCAGAAACAAAATATTTTATTTTTTAATTCTAGGTATTTCAATAGTTATACATAAAGAACAACCATGGGCTGTCTTAGTAGTTACCCCACTCATGAAAAGAGTGCAGCTTTTATCGTCATCAAAAGAATTGGTTTTCTGTGATAGTACAAGTAGCTGTGATACAATGGAAACTACTCTGACTACAGTACTTTCAGTAAGTAACGCCGGTGCAGTTCCTATTGGAATGCTGATGCATGAAGGCCAATCATGTGAAGGATATAAAAATGCTTTTGGTCTCCTTAAAAAACATTACCCGTTGTGCTTTGGTGGCAATGGGGTGAGTTATTATAATACACAACACATATTATCTTTAATACCTTGAGTGTTGGTATTGATATGCTGATGGATTAAAATTATAGGCGCCTATTGCATTTATGACTGATGACTCTGCCGCAGAAAGATCAGCACTGAAGCAAGTTTGGCCATCATCTAGACTACTTTTATGTACATTTCATGTTTTACAAAAAGAATGGGGATGGCTACATGAAATGAAGAATATGGTATTGAAGGAAAAACGTTTACCCCTAATGCGGATGTTTCAAAAAGTAAATANTGGAACGAATTGCTCGCAACAATCGACAGCGACCCATGGGGAAAACCCTACAAGCTTGTTGCTCGTAAGCTTCAGGGTCCTTCCCCAACAAGCAAGATGGAATGTGAGTCGGTACGGCGGATCACGGACGTGCTTTTTCCCCTCCATCAGCCGATGACAACGCAAGTCCTCCAAGCCACTGAGATGCCTCCCCCCTTCACCATCGAAGAGGTAAACATAGCGGTGGAAAGAGCGAAACGGAAAAATACCGCTCCGGGTATGGATAATATAAATGGGAAGATAATTAACGTTGTCCATCAAATATGCCCGTCCATGCTGCTAGGGTTATACAACCAATGTATTAAAGAAGGTGTCGTCCCATCTGGCTGGAAGAGAGCTCGCGTAATTCTCCTAAAGAAGGGTAACAAACCTGAAGGAGAACCTTCGTCGTACAGGCCCATCTGCCTCCTGAACGTCTTAGGAAAAATTTTTGAGTCTCTGTTGGTGGCAAGGTTACACGAGCACACAGTGAGTAAAGGCGGCTTGTCCCCCAACCAATTCGGATTTACCAAGCAAGTCGGAACTGATGACGCGGTGCGGAAACTCCAGGAAACGATCTTTTCCGAAATCAATTATCCCTCGGCTAAGTTTTGTGTGGCGATCAGCCTTGATATAAAGAATGCCTTCAACTCGATCGGATGGAACGAAGTCATGATGGCACTTAACCATGCCGGAGTTCCAACGTACATAAAGAAAGTTCTCCAAGACTACTTCTCAGGGAGGTCCGCCGAAACTACAGCTGGAGACCAAAAAGTCGAGATCCAGGTGTCATTCGGTGTCCCTCAGGGCTCTGTCATCGGCCCATTTCTCTGGAACCTGGCCTACGATCGAGTCCTCCGTCTGCAGCTTCCTTCTGGGTCTAGTCTCATCGGCTTCGCTGATGACACCCTAGTAATCAGCTCGGGAAAAACTATCCCAGATCTAGAAAGAATTACTAACGAGACACTTGCTCTGGTTTCTGATGAGATCAAGGACATAGGCCTCACTCTATCAGTGAACAAAACAGAGGCGATATGTTTACCAATAAATACAAATACGATGTCCCGAGGATAGTACTCGATGGACAAGTCATCCAGCCGAATAACGAAATGAAATACCTTGGGATAGTAGTGGATCGTAGCCTCCTATTCAAGGTCCACATCGAAGAAGCGGCCAGGAAGGCGGAAAAGATGGCAAACGCCCTTGGAAGACTTATGCCAAACCTGGGAGGCCCCAAAGAGTCAAGAAGGAAGCTGTTT